CAGCAACACATTCTGTGTTCAAGATCAGTTGTCAGCACAAGCAAACGATGGAAACACCCATGAAACTTTGCAGGATTTAGCACTCTGACCAGTGCCTACCCAACTGGGTTTCACACAACAGCTCTCAGCAATGCAGGTAGAAAACTGGCCTGACTTAAAGCAAGAACTGTCCTGCCTTAATACATACACAGTAGTTGATTCTTCCAAACGTGTTCCTTTCCAGCTGCAAAAAGTACTAACTTGTTTTGGATTTCAAACATGTAAGACTAATGTCCAGCAAATAAGACAATGTACTTCCCATCCTTGTTTCAAAAACCTCTAAAAACACAGCTCACACTAAGCACTACCTTCATAAATACATACTTAAATGGTACTTGCACCTTTTGGTCTTAAAGGTGGAGAGACTTCTTCTCAGAAGAAGGACTGTCATTCAGGTTTTAATTAAGGACAAAGTGGCAGGTGGGCAGTCAAGCAAGAAATAGACCTCTTAACCAATCAAGCTACTTTCAACAATAGAACTGCAATTTTGGTTTTCATTACAAGTCATCTTAAAGGTTTTACAAGAGCCTTTGCTTAATATTAAATAGTCCAGTAAAATATGACAGTTATTTGTAAGTTGAAGTGATTTCATCTTCATAGTCAAACATAAACTCTGCTGATGTCAAAACTTCTCTGTTTGTGCCATTTAAAACATATGTCCTGTCTTAATTCTGAAATAAACGACACAGCTTTTGGACCGCAGATAGGTTGCACCTTTCAAAGTTTCACTGCCCCAAAGCTTCAGTAGCTACACTATTCCAAAGCCTTAGTAAAAGGAGGGGGAAATCCAGGTCACACAAGACTTTTTTGAAAAGTATGGTTTTATCTTCTCCTCAGATAAGGTGCTAGGACAGTGAAAAAAACTGGCAGAGAAGTGAGCACTGAATGCTTATAAAGGCCCATACCCAGCTGATGAATTGGAGTCACACACACTAGTTGTCACCTCAGTGGCTATTGGGGCCAGGCAAACCTCTCCAAATTTGGCCACTGTTACAAAAAGTCCTAGCTGCTCCCACCACAAGATTCACCATGCTAGGAATTGCAGTAGTAGTTCCCAAAAGAAGAATTTTCCTTCTGGGCCACTTGCCAAATAAGGTTAATTTCCATTATCTTGTCAGTTTAACACACCTGAGATCAGAGGAACAGTTTCACTAAAGCAAGTTGCCCACAAATTGACAGGCAGAGTCCCTTGACAACAGTGGCCAGGCTGTCTTATGTCAGTAAAAGCTCTTCATCAGCAAGAAAGAAAAAATCCAAAGTCAAAGAGGAAATAAAAAGGGCCTCTTACCTCCTGCAGTATTTCACTTCTGTGTTCCACCAGCAAGGTGTTTGTCCAGGCCTCATACACCTATTAGTCTAGCACACAGCTTTGTGCAGGACAGTGCTCATGAAGTTTGTGACCTGTTCTTGGTGGGAGGAAGTCTTCACCATCTGGAGAGAAATCAGAGGAAGGAGAGGCAACATGAGTTCTGCTCCAAGTCATCAGAAGCACAAAAAGACTGTTGGTTTGACCAGTTAGAGGATCACAGAAAACACAATCCTTTTACTGTGTGTACAGGGACTTTATATTTTGTGCAGCTAAAGGATTTAGATGCTTTTCCCCTCATGTTTGTTTATTTGCAAAACTTGCACTCTGACAACAACACAGAGTGAGTTCATAAATATCAGTGATGCCCTGTAAGCACATGGAGATGATGGAGCACCCAATTTCAGAGCACTGTGCAGACTGTTATACAGGGCTTACACAGACAGGATACACAAGCAAGTATATGTTAATCCAAAAAAACTTCAGGTTCATAAGTTCATACAACACAGGTCAGCTCCTGAAACTGGCTGCTTAACCCAATGGAGGAAAGAGCCCTTAAGGCCTGTTACAGACTAGAACTGAGTCTCTCAGAGCTGAGACAGCCAAGGCTTCCATAGAGCCCAGGGCAGCCATCCACACTCTCCACAGCACAGCACATCTAAGCCCTTGTCAAATCCTGCCACTGTCTAGACCCATTTCCCTACCCCAGAGGGGAATCCCAGTGAGGTTGAGGTACCAGGTAATACCGCTCAGGGCAGTTAAGGCTTGCTGGTGCCCTCAGCCACTGGCTGCTCTCCACTACAGGGAGAGGTCTAGAGAGGTTCCAGGACTGGTTGCTCCCAGGGACCCCTCCTGAGATGAGTGAGGAGACAGAGAATTAACAAGGTAGGTATATGGAACTAGCCAAGCATTTTGCCTCTTCCGACTTCCCCCCTGTGGGCAGTCCTGGAAATCAGGTTGGTCAGGGCCACCTTGTATTCAAGGCAGCCACCTGCCCACTATCAGGATGTAACCAACAAGTCCCAAGTCAGAGGCCCCAGCAGTCCTACCAGGGGAGCTGGATTGCTCACAAGCAATTTCTCCCTGGGGGTGCAAGAGACAGAAGAAAGGTCACAGGCAGCTCCAGGAGCTACTTAGCTGCTCTTAAAGGTGCTGATCCCCAAGCTGTGGCAGTGCATCAGGGTAGAGAGAGGTATCACCCTATATCCCCGGAAGAGCCAGAAACCAGCACCAGACATCTGAGCAGAGCAGCATCTGATAAGGAAGGGTCGTAAGTTTTAGGGTACACAGCTGCAAGCTGACAAAAGCCTCCTACACCACTTCCAATTGAACCCAAAGGTACAGGCCAGCCCCAAACAATCCCACGATGGGAAACCAACCAGAAACAAGCCCCCGACGTACATCAGTCTCATAGGTGAAGCCCAGCTCCCCCAGCAGCCAAGCAGAGCAGAGCGAGAATTAACAGCAGGTTCTGCCAAAGGTGCAGCACACAGAATGGAAATACAGAAAGGTGCTGAAACTGAGACATCCAGGGAAGGACACCAAGTTTAGGAAGGACTTGGCGTGTACAAAGACCTACCTACAGCGAGGAAAAGAGGAAGGACCCCTCAGCTGGAGTTTAAATGGCAGTGGGAGGACCCTGCTCAGGTTAATTAATTAATTAATTAAGGTTAATTAATTAAGCAGGGGCTTAATTAAGGGCCCTGAGTGGCTGCTGCCCTTTGCTACCTGAGAGCAGGTTGTCTCTCTGGGAGAAATAGAGCAAAATCAGACAGTCAGTTCGGACAAAAATCCCTGGCTTTTTGGTGTATCTTCCCTTATGTTCCTTGCATAGTTCTGGGAGAGACAGCCAGTTCCCAAGACATCTTCGTTTCCCAAAACAATCTGTGAAGAAATCTTCCAAAGTCAAGAGAGCTAGTTCACTGCCCAGAATCAGGGAGGAGGGATGAGAATGAAAGGTTCTGATCTTAATTTGAAGGGTGTTGTTAAAATCCCAGCCCAATCAGTCTACAAAGTAACAAAGTACTAACACAACAAGGTGGTAGTCATGACACTGTGGCATCACAAAAGAACTATGCCTTTCCCTTAGAAATATGTGCAAGCAGCTGGGAGGCAGTTAACTGTGAGCAGAAGCTGGTGGCTCCTGAATCCCTGCAGCCCCCCAGACAGCTCCAGGGAAAGGAAGGGTCTGTCCAGCATAGGATTTACCAGCTGCAATGCCAGGCTGGGTGACTTCCCGTCAGTTTGAAAAGGCCCCAGCCTTCACTCACCTCTGGAGTCCTCTGTTATTGGCTAGGGCTGGAGACTTGGCTTCCATGCATGAGACTTCTCTTTTCTCCTGGTACTTGTTCCAGCAAAGAGTTGTAGGAGGTTTTGTGTCTGTCTTTCAGGCACAATGAAAGAAGCAGTGTGTGTCCTTCATACATCCACACTCCCATGCACAAATCTGTAGAAAAGAGGCACTAAAGTGATGTCAGAGAGATCACTGGGCTTCTCTTTGTTTTTAACTTCCCCCTTGCTTAGTATTTTACTTATGAGAGTCCTACGGACCCAGTCATGTGCTCTCCAGTGAAATTGCAGTTCCCAACATGTCTGTGTGCTCTCACAGCAGCTCTGACACTTTCAGTGCCTGCTGTCAGTATATGTGACCCTGAGGGAACTTTCTGCTCTACCCGAGATGTGGAAATGGATCATTATGTTTTTTTTTTTTACTCTGGCTTTGCTTTCAAAAACATCAGTTCCCAGATACGAAGGCATTATGTGGCACCCAATAAGCTGAGTGGCCCTTGGAATGAGGAAGGTGACAGGCAGGCTGGAACTAGAGTAACCGGTGCAACCCAGGACACTGAAGCCTGTTCTAAACCCTGTTTTCCAGATACGGGCTCAGGGGGGGCAGTTTTGGGGGTGCAAAACCCCAGCTCATCAGACTTCAAGAAAGGAGGGGAAATCATGGGCTGTGGGCCTCAAATGAAGACACGTGTCCTTGAGCCTTAAGTCCAAGAATCATCAAACTCAGAGACTAAGACCTGTGTTTTCTGTTGAAAAAAAACTCAAGTCCTGAGTTTTCCAGACTTGAAAACAGGTTCATGGAGCTGTTTTGGGTGCTCTAAAAATGAAACAAAGTCCTGTGTCTTTGGGGTTGGGAAAAGGGTTCCTGGGGCTGGGCTGTGGAGTTGGAGCAGAGACCAAGTCCTGCATGTTTGGGCTCAGAAACTGAGACTGAGTCATCTGTTTCTGAGCAGGAGGGTGCGAGGGATTGGGAAGATGTGTTCCAGGCAGGCAGGAGGTGGGCAGGGTATGTAGACCTCTACCAGGGGTGAGGGTTCGGTCATATTGGTCCCCAAAGTTTGAGAGACCAGCCTACAACAGGCTGAACTCAATGTCTGAAAAAGTCTCTGGGGAAAAAGACACTTTTCATACTGTTTTTGTGTGTCCAACTCTTTATTCAAGGTGTGTACAACAGCTGGAATAGTCATTAACTCATTAGTTCACATTTAGACCATGCACAATTATGACAGCTCATATTCCTAAGACAGTGATTGATTTATGACCTTGCCAAAACCCACACTGCTACAATGAGCAGAAGCTTTAATTAGCTTAAAGATGGGCAAGGCTACCCCTGGACAGAAGCAGAGCAGGTAGCAGCATTGTCCTCTGCACAAGCAGCCTGGTTTCTTCCTCAGAGATTCAGGGAACCCTGGGCAGGTCTCTCCCTATCTCCTTTCAAGGGCAGAAATGATGTGTCCCAGCACATGCATGGTTCCTGCTAGGCAATTTGTGGGAGCAGTGCCACTGGCCCAGTTGCCCACACTCACCAAAGACAAACTCAAGACTGAACCAGCTCCTCCACTCCGAGGAAGTAAGGCACTTTTCCAGAAAGTAGCCAAACGCATCTTCAGTCTGATATGTTACGCTTATACAATACTTTCTATGCCTATTAACTAATTATTGAGTGTTTAATAATCAGACAATATTTATAAACTAGTAATTCATTACTATTTATATATTTGTAAGTTGATTATTCAACACATACTCAATATTAAACTATGCTACTTATAATCAAGTGATGGCAGCAATTTATTTACAACCATGTCAAGAGCTCCCTCTGGCACGACAATGAGTAGGAGTTGCACTCCTACCCCCATGAAGGTGGTAGGAGCCAGGCAGGATCAGGTAGCACATGGGCAGTTGCCCAGCACAGGCCTTTTGCCTCTGCATTGGGCACATATCCAAAATATGCAGGAATATGAGTGGTGTGTTTCATTTTTATGAAGGTACTGTTGCCCTTACCAGTGTGACTTTCCAGTATCATTAAAATTTATAAGATGTTGATTAGCAAAGCAACAAGGAATAGCAGTAACTCTGTTACTTCTCAGCTTTTCAGTTTGCAGTCTCAATATGTAGCAAACTTAAAAGTTGACTTAATGTAAGACTATTGGGTAGTGTAAGATATTGGTGCATCTATCAACACAGTGTAGAAATTTTAGGAAGATGCAGGCTGTGACAAATGCCATTTGAATCATTACTCAACTACACAATAAAGCTACAGCATTTTTACATTTTACATAGTTACTTAGGTATAACTAAGAGGGTGAAGCTGAATATGCAAGTAGAATACATGAAAGCTCCTGTGCAAATTCTAACTAGTAATGATGGCCTGCTGCAGAGGCTAATCACAACAATGAGAACCAGATAACAGCCCAGGAAGCCCACTTAAAAAGTAGGAGAAGACTGCAACTTCAAAAAACTAATAGTATTTTTAATTGGAAAAAGCCCCTAACAATCCAAAACAAATGACCAAATAATGAAACAAATGAAGACACTGACAAAGTATTCAAACTTCAGGAGCGGATAGTCTTACAAAGTGATTCTGTAAGTCTCCATCAACTTCTAGGAAAATGCTCTAAACCCAAGCACTTTCATGGCATACTGGGGCTCTCTGGTTTGTTGTACCTCTGTAGGATTACACTCTGCAAGACAACATTTTAAAAGAAGCAGCTGAACCTAGTCCTCAAGCTATTGATTTTAGTCATGTTCTTTCAAGAAAGTCTATGTAAGTACTGAAGAAATCTCTGAGGGGAGAATAATTAATAGGAAAATGTTGATTCTTCTGTAGTAGAAGAAATGTTGAAGGAAAATGGTTGTTTTGAGCAAACTCTGGCCAGCAGCTCAGCCCCACACACCTGCTTGCTTGGAATCAGAAGAGTAAAAGTGAAAAAACTTGTGGCTTGAGATAAAGACAATTTAATAGCTAAAGCAACACCATGGAAGGAAAGCAAAACAGGGAATTCATTCACTGCTTTTCAGGGGTGGGCAGGTGTTCAGCCACACCCAGCAGAGCAGAGCTCCACCATGAGTAATAGATACTTGGGAAGAAAAATGCTTCATGTCGCCTCTTTCCTTCTTCTTCCCCCAGCTTTTACTGCTGACCATGAGGACATGGTATGGGATATCCCTTTGGTCAGTTGGAGTCAGCTGCATTCCCTCCCAGCTTCTCATGCACCCCCAACTTAGCAGCAGGGCAGTGTGAGAGGCAGAAAAGGCCTTGATGTTTATAAGCCCTGCTCAGCAGCAGCTGAAATGTCCCTGTGCTATCAACACTGTTTTCAAAACAAATACAAAATATAACCATTATAAGGTACTATGAAGAAAATTAACTCTATCCTGGCCCAAACTAATAAAATAGGAGAGGATAAGCTTACCTATTTATAACTGAGGCATAAGTATTGCATTTCATGTTTCCTGAGGTTGACACTACAGCACATGATTATAAGTCATAGGTTAAAAGCTTCCTGTGAGGGAAAGGAAGATGGCAAAAATCTGAGCCTAAATGTAGCAATTGCAACTTTAAACATTATCTTTTTGTTTTTATAGGCCAGAGATGGAACAAAAAAAATAACAAACAACCTCGTGAACAGCAGTTTAAGAATAATAGCTAATAAACTGAATAAAAGAATTAAAAACCCCACTTCTGAGTATGCTGTTAACATCTGACTCCTATGGAGTAAGAATTGAAATAGTCATTAACATCAGTTTTATCTTATTTTTAAATGTCTTCAATAAGTATTACAGGAGAGCAAATAGTTAATTCCACCACATAAATATTAACAAGTACTCACTGACTAACTTTGCTTTAATGATTTCCATTTTTACATATTTATATGAGGAGGAAAAGGTGCAACACTTAGTTTATGGCCATGACTGAAGTTATGGAAAGAAGAAAATAAGGTGTAAATTCAAGTGTCTCAGAGTCCATAAAAGAGAAACTCTGTTTCTGCCCACTATTAAATATGATCAAAATGACCTGATCGTGAATATGTTTGTGTAGAAATTGTCAAGTATGTATATAAGTCTCTGTAGATATAATTTATGTATTTACAAATGATATTTGAGTTGGAAGAAACAAGTGATTCAATTAAATCCAAATGTTTCCCACATGCAATCTGGTAAAGTATAATTTGTTATCATTAAGCTATCTTTGCAACTTCAGAAGTGAGAACTATACTTTCATGTCTTTCAGAAAAATGTTATAGAAATTAATGGTCCTTAAATAGGTAAAAGGAGTAGGTAAAAACAGATTAAAAGCAGTACTTGGCAGAGAGAAGAGCTTCCTCAATTAGAGATGTCAAAACCCCCTAAATTTGTAGTATGTGGGCATATAACTTTATGAGAAAGTGTTATGAAATGACTAATCAGGTAATTGTAAAAATATAAAGTTATTCTATTCCTTTTCTGCATGCCAGCCGTTATTTTCCCATCCTTTGAGCCAGATAGTAAAATGTGTAGTATGTCAGCTTTGCAGTATGACCAGTCTGAAGTTGCCACCCTCACTGTACCCGCGTTAGAAGAGACTCCACCAGTGACTGAACCTGTGGGAATCTGTGAACAAAAGGAGAACACTCAGCACTGTGCCCTCAGGGACAAAACTGTTTCTAGGAAGTGACTGTGGGTTATCCACTGTGCCAAAATGTTGGTCTGCCAATTACAAGACATGATAACCTCCCAATAGTGCAACTTGTTCGGGCCTCTCAGCTGCACAGCTGTTGCATTTGGCCTTGTACCCTGTTGTAAACTGTCAGTAACATCTACCATAGCGTGAACCGTATGTTGATGGTTGTGTTACTGCATCCTGGCTGCTGCATGTGCACAGTGTGAGCTTTCATCCTAGCAGTGAGCAAGAACAGGTCAGTGGGTGGGCAGTAAGGCCGAGTGTTGTCAGAGCATGCTGTGCTAGGGTCATTCCCACTGAAGAGCTGTGCAGGTCTTTGACCTGTGCCATGTGCTGTGCCTCTCCCCTTGGAGTCTCACCACCTTGTGCTGACAGATACTGAAGGCTGCACCTGCTGGTGTTGTCATTAAGGTAAGAATTGTCCTTTCTTCCAGGTCTGGTCTGGTCTGGTCCTACAAGTTTACACACTTGTGCTAGGGAGCAAACAGAGTTTATAAGATGTAGAAGATATACTAGTAGCTAATAGGTAGCCAATAAGTACTTCCCACCAATGCACCTGCATAAACCTTAACAGCCAATTAGTGCTGCAAATTCTGTGCTGATAAAGCACAGTCAGCAAGATTAGCTTTGTAGGTGAGAGAAACCAATTGGGAGATTGAGCAGGACCTGATGAAATTAGGTTGCTTTTCAAAAGCCTTAGCACTTTCAGCTTACAAAGATCTCTTTTATAGCATGTATTCAGGTCTGTTTTGTGTGTGCATGCCTCTCTTTTCTAAGAAGCCTTAACTCAGAAAAATATAGTTGGAGGAACCTGAGTATGGCTGGCACAGGCTAGAAAACATTGAATCAAAACCTTCCACCTAAAGAGTATTTGATACTTCGAATCACCAGCAGCCCAGAAAATCAAATAGGAAGATCTGATAAACCTGACCAAAAATCCCACAAAATTCAAGTTTTCTCATGCCAGGGCCAGGGCTACCCGGTATTACCAGACGAATATGAAATGAAGCAGGACTTCCTCCTGTCTGAGTCTCAAGGAGTTTCATTTTGGCGTGCAGATGGACTGCAAGGAAGCTGCAACAAACCCAACGAAAACAAAACAAAAAGCCTTCACCTGTACAATACCTATTTTGGATATAATAAAAGTACTAAAACTGAGAATTTCTACAGACTTCTTTCTCAGGACCTCTCTTCAACTTTCTGTATAAAACAGACAATCTTCAAACTCTCAGGGTCAGGAAAAACTCCTTAAGATTTTTGCATATAAAAATGTTTCTTGAGTTAATTTGAAAGGGAAGTGTCAAGAGTATTTCAAAGCAGACTGTTGATTATTAGAGAAATTGCCAACATTTTTTAATTCCATTTTCATTTGACAGCCCCTTGAGTGCTACTGAGCTAGGTTCCTTTTCAGTAAAACAAAACCATTCACTGAAGCGCAAAGATGAACATCAGCTTCCTGGGAAGGTTAAGCAGATGGAGTGGTGGACATAGACACTGCCTGTCAGACTGCAGATGAGAAGTTTAAGGTGGGCTGTCCCTGCGTTTGGCTTTGAGGATGTCAGGCAACTAATACTTGAGTTCAGGGAAAAAATTATGGGGTAGTAAGAATAACATTTTTGGGTGAAATTCCCAAGTATTATTCATTACATGGATTTCTCAGTTCTCCTGTCACTTGGGCTGTAGTCAGTCAGATTCTGCCCACTTTCAAACATATTTAGGATCAGTATTTCAGCTTCAAGAAGTAGTTGAAATGCTATCTATTCACTCCAACAAACACATGAATGTGTTCGATATTCATTCTATGAAACACATCCATCACCCTGTCTTCATAGTAGCTCTTTGTGGGCCAAACTAACCACAAGATTTCTTTTCTTATTTTCACAACCTCAAAATAATACCCCCAAAGGAAAAACTCAAGGAGCTAGTCAGAATTTTATTGCTTAAATTTTTATTGTTATTAGGCTTAGCTATCCTCCCCCCCTCCCCAAAATATCCCAGTAGACATCTTGTCACAGCAAAGATGTCCAGAGTTACTGATGTCATTCTTCAAAACCTAGAAAACCTGAATATCTCTAGCACTGCTGAAGGAGGTAAATATCCCTTCAAAACTGTGCCCCACCAAAATACTCTAAGAAGTAGTGGTGAGACAAGAGGCTGATGAAGAGTTGCTTTATGCAAATGTTGCAGTCTGTGATGCAGCGAGATGTTCTTTAACATCCTCATGAGGGGAAGTGGAGGGGCAAATAGCAATTTCTTCACTCTCGTGACCAGTGACAGAACTCAAGGACACAGCACGAAGCCCAGTCAGGGAAGGTTTAGGTTTGATATCAAGAAAAAGTTTTTCACCTGGAGGGTGGTTGACCACTGGAACAGGCTCCCCAGGGAAGTGATCACAGCACCAAGCCTGACAGAGTTCAAGAAGCATTTGGACAATGCTCTCAGGCACATGGTGTGATTCTTGGGGTGTTCTGTGCAGGGCCAGGAGCTGGACTCAGTGATTCTGAGGGGTCCCTTCCAACTCAGTATATTCTGTGTTTCTATGAACTAGCCCCTTAGGCAAACTGCAAACAAGTAGAAATATCTCTCCTATTTTGTACTCAGACAGGTAGTGGGCTACCTCTTGAGAAAAATAGTTATCTCCCACAGGTCATATTTCCTGTCTGCCAGTAGGCATCCAGGTTCAGGCAAAATGAATGTCTAAACTATTTCTAGCTATTATCCTAGTGCTGGGCACATGCAGAATCACAAGGTGTTTGCAGCAGTCCAACTCTGTTGTTTCCCCTTCTCCCACAAAAAAATAGCCAACCACACTCTCACGTTGAAGAATACAAATCAGGATCTATATTTAAGTCCTCTCCCATGTGTATCTATGAAGGCATTACTTGTTTGAGGTGCAATTAGGTAGGTCATCTAACTTGTGTACCCCAATTATTTTTGCTTCTGCATTTGTGCACCACTTAAAATTTTCTTGATTTTGCTGTATGAGATATGACACAGAAGGAATCTGTCATGCTTTGACCTTTCTAGAGGGATGCCTGTGTGTCTTATAGTTCATGAAGGCAACTTTTTCCAATGTGAGAGGCCTGAAAAAGATGTTGAACTTTGATGACAGGTTGCTAAAAAGAGCGTATGATTTGTAGGGTGTCGTGGCAGTTTAATTCTCAAAGTTGAGGGGATTTTCTTGCTAGCAAAACCTGCTTTCTTGTCTGACATGTGGGTTCCGTGGACTTGATGCTGAAGACACTGAGTTTTACTCTCAAAAGGACTTACGCATTACTGCTAGGATTTTTTTCTTTTAATGATTTAAGTGTCTAAATTCTGTTTTTGAAGTGATTTAGGCCAGAGTCAGGGAAGTATTTTAGAATCCAAAGTTATAAAGTAGCTCAGTAGAGGGATTATTAAAACGGCTCATAAATGCTTTCAAATCTCCACCATTGGGACCATTTTGAAGAAATGCATTTGCCAACACCATTGAGTTCCCTATAGTTTTCAAAAATTCAAGAGTTCCTAAGTGAGGAAGGGGTTATTTGAATATAGAGCACTGAAACAAATACAAATATCCTCCACAAGCAGCAGAATATGGTTCTGATTTGAAAAAAAGAGAGGGAATAAGGTTTATTTTTCACAAAAATAAGAAAGCTTTCATGCAAAATATAAATTAATCTCTTTAAAATAGATAAACTAGTCTCTATTCATCACTTCTCTTCCCATGGACTCTTGGGGGAAAGTAATGATTGACACAGCTAGGCAGGGAGGAATTGTACCTGAAGGCTGGGTAGCCAAGGAGGCAGGATGGCCTCCAAACCCAGGCAGTGTGCGACCGTGGCATGTTATTGCCTACATCAGACCCAGAGAAAAATATCCCTGCAGCTTCCAAATCTATGATACACCCCTCTTCCCCATAAGAGTCAGACAGCTCAGCCAGGCACTAACTGGCTGTATTAGTGTGGGGCTGTGTGGTGGCAATGCCCTCCTACGCCGTCTAAAGTTCCCTGCTTTGAGTGCTTCACCAGCACCACAACATACAAGTATTTGGGCTTGGCGTTTGGGCATGACTTCTGTTCTCCACTTCAGGTTTTTGATACTTGAAAGTCCCAGCCTTTCAAGTTGCTAGCAGCAACTCTTTGAATTGCTTATACATGCATTAATGGAAATATTTATCAGTTGTGACTGGAAAAAGTGCTGTGCTAAGTGTTAGAAGAGCCAGTAAAAATATGTCCGTGTATTTTTAGTCACCCTGGGATTAATTCCCAGGCAAGTCTTTGTTTACAATGCTATATTTACATGGAACAGCCATGTGGAATAGGGATATTCCTCCTGACAGCCGCTCTGCTTTCCTCAAAGCAATGGAGGGAGGGATTGATTCAAAATCGTACCTGCTGCATTTCTGTCTCCCTCCAAACACCATCACAGGTGCAAAGGTGACAGCTAGCCCAGTGCAACCCCTCTGCTTCTCACAGCTCATGTTGGTAGGCTGGGGACACATATTGTCATCTCCTGCCAGGAATGCCCCAGACAGAGACCTCAACCCTACCCCTGGGGAGACATAGTCTAGATGTTGCCCCGTCACTCACCTCTCAGCACTAGAAGGCTTGCAAACAGTGTGTCCCTTCATTCATCTGAGGAAAGCCACTTGTTTTAAGGTGTGTTCATTGGCCTGCCCATGCTCTCCACTATGTTCATTTAGGACACTGTCATTTCCTAGAGCAGAAGACAAAAATAAATTGAGTGTATCAGTGACAAACATGACATCTTTTGAAACTGCTGATCTTCATTTTACATATCTGAATTTTTAAAAGCAACTGCTATTTGCTCTTCCCCTGACTCCTGTTAAGTTCTGATCTCTGAGCCCCCTTTGATCTCATTCACAGCCTTAGTGTACAGGAAGAGTTTCTTTCAATCTTTCCTGACTGCAAATACGAGGTCAGAGATTCTTCTAGCCATCTCATTTCCAGAGAGGCAAAACTAGTCAGGCCAGAATTTTGGAAGACCCCCCCATCAATATTTTGGTCCTACACTGAGGAGTCCAGCTCTTGAATAATGTCTGGCAATTGCAGCTTCTCTTAAGGTGATGTAGAAGAACCAACCACCATGCCAGCAACTTTGCTAAAATAGTCATTCATAGCTGTGCCTGCCTCGGTGGCTCACTACAGATATCATAATTGCTGAGGAACAGAGATGAACGGAACATGTGCCCTGTGGATATTGCCTTTTACCATTGCATTTTTCTGTGCAGCATTGAGGTGTTATTAGTAAGCAAGGATGAGGGCAGCTGTGTATCTCTGGATTCTTCTCATTAAATAAGGCAAGATAAGAAGCAAAGCCCACTTTAACCTGTCCCTTTGTCACGGCAGCAGGAGAACAAGCACACTAGACTGCCTTGTTCCCCCAGAGAAACCCAGGAAGCAGTAGAATGAAAGAAGTGCAATTGCCTAAAAGGATGCAGGTATTCCAGACCGGTGGCTGGACTATTCCCCTGTTGTCATCCTGCCTTTACTTCATGCTGGGGATACAGGGCAGGGACATATCACCCACAATCACAGCCTGTATTGCACATTTTAGAAAAAGTTTCCCCACAAAGGAATTTTCTCCCCTACTTTGCCAACATGAGCAGAACCAGCCAAATGTTCAATCTCATTCTAAAAAGCCTGACATCTGACCCTGTTGAAAATTTAACAGTTTTTTTCTTCCAAGTTATGCTGAGCTGCATAATAGAAGGGACGTTGTCAAAAGTTGCCATAGAAATAGGGAAAGAAAGCAAAAAAATATTACAAAGAAAGATAACAGATGACACTGGGGCATGTGAGGTCATAAAACCCTGTCCCCCATCTTGCTGAGCAGGACAAAGTGACCTAAGCCCTTACAGGACTGAGGCAACTTAGAGAAATACAGAATAAACATTTGAAAATCCCTGAAATGCAAGAAGTGAGTTTGCTAGCTTCAGCAAGCAGATCAACACTGCAAATATTCCCAGATCCATCTTCCTTGAGTTAGACTTCTCAGTCCAGAATTCAGTTCCCTCAAAGAACATTAGCTGTGATTTACCTACCTGAAATACACCTATTTCCCTTGGTATAAATGGGCTTCAAAGGTATTTTTCTTGTTCAAATGAGCAGACCAAATTTCTGTGAGCTCACTACACATGGAGATTGGAGAGTTCCTTCTCTAGTCAGCCAGGCCTAACTTTATGTTGATCATAAAGTTTGTGAAATCATTCCTCCCCAGGCAATTGCTACAGGTTAATTACTTAATACAGAAATTATTTCTAAGCTGTTCTGCAGGTGACTTTTTGCAGATGATTCAAGTCATTCCTGCATTCACAAAACTTCTTGGCACTGGGAACTTCATCTTCCTTCAAGTCACCAAATCCAGAGGACAAACCTCTAACTTCCTTTTTGTGCTGTGCTGGGACCACTGCAGCCCACCTTTCTTTAAAACTCCCAAGGAATGTCTTAGTCTTCTAGAGATATGAAGAGAAAGAAGGTGTTTTCTGGGAGTAAATATGACTTGTAGGCAGGTATATGGCCTGATAGATGATTTCAGTTGTGGTGAAAGGAGTGTGGAAGGCTTATTGCTGAAGAGGGAACAGTCTACATAAGCTCTGAGTTTCATCACAGCATTTCTCAACAACTGTGAGGGGTACCTAGAACACCAGTAGGACTTCGTGTTTTTAATGTCAGATTAAAATAGAGAAATACTCCGTGAAACCAATGGCAACAGACAGTAGAAATGAAATTGGAAGAAGTGACTGGGTTTGGGCCTTTTTGTGTGCAGATATGTCTGGGTCTGCACTTAAGGCAGCATGGGGGATGAGACAGAGGAGGACTAGCCCACTGAACAGTGGACACTGTGGGTGCTGAGACAGGGAATACCAGCAGAAGACATGAAACTGTAACATGATTAGCTAGACTGGCCTATCTGCTACTGCAGGGACAGGCCAACCAGACTACAATTTCAACATAACCATCCACTTGGGACAAAAAAAGTAAAAATAAAAAAGGACCACCCTTAGCACTTTCTACTTCCACTGCTATTAGGAGTAAATAAGCATATATCATAGCAGCATTAGGTGCCTGGCATTCAGGTTAGCCATGGAAGGAGCAAGGGTTCAGCAGTCACTTGTATATACTCCTTACCTCCCTTTCTAGTTTTTTTGCCACTCTCCAGTTATTAGATTCGATGCTCTACTACATTTCAGAAAAAGCATTAAGCTATTCCAAATTTAACTTGAAAATTAAAGCAAAGTAAAATGACACTGAGAAATCCTAAGTACTTTTGCTCCCAAATGTATTTCTCACAAGCAGATTTTACTGACTTAAGTACTGTATGCATGAATTCTGGCTATATGATTTAATAAATGCCCCACAGATTGGTTTCGGTTTGTTTGTTTTCCTCCTAAAGGACTGCGCTGCCACTGCCTTCAGTTGAAGAGGATTTCAGCAATTCCAGTGCAGGGCTAACTCTAAAGCTGTTTTTTGCTGATAGCAGAAGATCTGTAGTCCTCCTTATGCTCACCTGTAATTCAGATGAATGTCCTGTGCTCCTAGATAAGCACAAAGTAAAGCATTTTCTATCAAAGAATGCTTTTGGGGAAAAAATGGTGATCTGGTAATACTACAGTATTTTTTTTTTTGGAGAAAGAACCTTTCGGTTTGCCTTCACTTTTTTTTTTATGTCAGAGTGGGTCTAGGGAGGGAACAAGGTGCAGGATGGTAACCATCTAGACATCTCAGGTTGGCATGCTGGGTTGGGTTTAAGGGTTTTTTTGTTGTTTTGTTTCCTTAAACAAATACTTCTGTCATTCAATTCCAAGTGACGGTTCCTTTCCAAAAGTCCCTTTACATCTTACCTTAAAATGTCTTAAAACCTCAGCCAAATACCAAAAAAATAATAGCAATTAAAAAAAAAAAAAGGAAAAGTTTGCTCTAAAATTTTTTAGTTGACTAAAACTTGGTATTTTCTGTCTATTTTGTATCGACCTGAAACAGAGTTTTTGTTTTTATTCCTGAGTACATAGGGACTGATGTGTCTCTACCCTTCTGGTGTGTGTCTACAAGAAGAATTGATTAAACAACCCACAGGATCACAACTGAATTAACAGGCTCTGTCAAAATATGAGGAGATTCATTACCCCATTGGCAATAAGTTGCACATTTTTTCATCTTTCCTGTTTAATGTGAGAACAAGACAGGACCTGCAACAGACATCTGTCTAAGTGGAACCTGCCACAATAAATGTCCAGAGCTAAATGCAAAAGAAAGCTTATGAACAAAGCATCTTGTTTTGAGTCACTGAGAGGTCCTAGTAACAGGCTGCTATCATGCCAGTTCCTTTAAGCTGAATCTGACATCTCTCTCTTGTCTAAACAACTGAGATTTTCAGGGACAAAAAAATGATGGACAATCAAGAATAAAAATGCTGAATCAGAAGCTTCAGTAGTACTTTCATAGTCATACAGCAAGGCTGAGCTTTAAAAGGCAAAAATGTGTCAGCAGAGGAAAACAAACAATACCCTCTGAATTTTTAGGGAAAGCTAATGAAAGTGAGAAAGATCTTGCACGTAGGAGAGGGAGCACATGGGTGTTCAGCAAGAAGACGATGAGCCAGTCTCAGTTGAGTGGAAAACATTTCACTGCCTGCATTTGGCGCTGAAACTTTAGTATATTTGACAGGTCATTTTTACCAGATTTCCTCACATAAGGGTCAAACTATTTTAATTTCTTTTTTGTGAATACACAAGCATGAGTGCACACGACTATTTCCATGTGTTGCATTCAAGATACACTTAACAGAGGTTTTTAAAAACATCTGTAGAAAACAGGACTGAAAAGCAAAAATATCTGCTCAAGAAACAAAGTGCTGAGAAATTTCAATCTACAGTGGGAACATCAGTATTAATTTGGGAGAGGCAATAGATGTAATTTTGGTGAAGGTAAGAAAAATTAATGTCACCATCATCTGTGTAAGGTTTCTGCTGTCCACAACAGATGTACGCCAAATCCTTTCCTCCCAAAGTTAAAATTCACAAAATCGCACATGCCTCCCCTTAAACTGCAGCTGCAGATAGAGACTAAGAAATACCTAAATCCAGACAGCAGCAGTTACTTATGGCTGATTGATTCCCAGCCCTACATTTGCTTTAGGCGCAGATCAGTATAATCCAGGTGAGCAGAAAGGAAGCACAAGGTGGAAAATTCTCAACTTTTTGTTCAGAGAAATATGTCCTACCCGTCATTGGGTAGGCAGCCCACAATCCTCTCCCTAAAGGGATTGAGGAGCGCAGTCCTGCTGCTTTGCAGGGAGCCTCACACTCTCAAATCTCCTGAGTGCTATGGAAAAAATCACCTACAGAAACATTAAGCCTTTGCTTTTGAAACTTCTTCTTAAGAGATCTGAAGGCTCACTTCCTACAAATTTTAATTAATTTCAAAATCTCTGGAAAGGCAGCAAACCTGGTTCCCAAGAGATCCTCCGAATGGGGACAACTTTGCACACACAGCCACCTTTGAAAGCAATTTGTCAGCTGCTACAGATGTGCAGGATGTACCCATGCTGCCATGACCAGCTTGGCTTTAGAGAAGCCTCTGGTGCTGTAAGAACAACAGAAGTTACCTAATATTGAATATTTTAGATTATCTCATCAGTTAACTAAAGACTAATGGGAGATAAGCCTTTTGGCATTTTTCCTCCAGTTGTGAGCA